CCAACAAGTCCAGAATTAAGGGCCATTATGGGATCATTTATCATTTCAGTAGAACAATTGAAGTAAGTTATAAGCATAAATAAAAGTGACATATGTGGAAAATAGCAACAGAAGAAACTTCACACAGAGAAGTTATAATAAATAGAGACTATGTTATGCTCTGGTTATAAATGAACCCCTAAAGATCACTGATTGAACTTCGTAAGGGTACATATCAAATGTTGGTTGGCAGTGATACAGCTCTACATATAGTCACTGAGGAACCCAAGCTGATAGAAGCCCTGATTCCTCAATTTTCAGTCACCATGGTTGTAATAGAGGAGGAAGAGAAAAGGCACTGCAGGTTTGCCCACCAGACCCTAAATGTGTTGATACTTCCTCGGCTAGAAATGACAGACATCGTTTCCATTTCTGTCTGTTAGTCAAAATTAATCGTATGACTCTACCTAACTGGAAGAGAGAAGGTAATGTAGTAGAACTGTATGTATTCCGTGAGTGTATTTGGTGCCACATGGTGTACAAGCTGATTCTAAGTAGATAATCTGAAGTTAATTTGGTGAGTGAAGAAGTAACAGATGACAAAGAAAAACTCTCTACTGTGAAAGCAAGAAGTTATTTTTAGAGTAAAGAAGATTTTAACTCCTTTGTCCTAGTGTGCATCTAGAAACTGGAACACAGTAGGAAGATAAGGCAAAACTTACTGCTACTAGGGTTCTAGTTCATACATGCATGAATTTATTCCAAACAAAACGTGTTTAAACATGTCTTTGCCATCAGTAAACGGCTACAGACACGTGCTTACAGTAAATACATTTGTTTTAGCCTTATTAGGATGGCTTCAAAATAAAACTTTAAATCAAAACAGTGGCTTCTGAGGGGACTGATGCACCCGTTAAATTTAGAGCATCCGTTTTTTGGGTTTCTAAAGATGCTTTTTGGGTTTCTAAAGATGTAATCTTGATAGATATTCCCAAAGGACACAGAGTGCTCTGAGGGGTTATTATGAAGTTTTAAGAAAATTTAAAATTGCATTGGTAAGAAAAGGGTCAACAAAGTTGTGCTAAGTCATTAATTTTTTCCATCACAACAATGTAATTGCTCTTAATTTGAGGTTAGCAAGGGCTGTTCTGTGAGAGTTTCATTGGTAACCCTTACCCATCCACCCGACAACACAGATTTGCCTGTCCCTGACTTATTTTTGTTCCCCAAACTCAGAGACCATTGAAAAGAAACATGACTAGAATGTCTCAAAGATGCCCAAACTGCTATTTTGGTTCAGTAAAGGTTTGTTTGATTTTGCAGCAATACTTTTGACTTACCCTCATCTGTAAATATCTGAGCTATAAATTAGCCCTGGGACAATGTTGTAGCTGAATCTTGTACTGAAAATATAATAATATTTTAAACTATAAACAACAGATTAATTATAAACATTATTTATTTAATAAAGCTGTTATTTTGTGGAAAATGTGTTAAGAGATCAATTATTAGGCATCCTGTTGTAGCACTGTAGGAGAAACATTGGACCACAAGGTCGGTTTGAATCGAAAAGTTAGTGGTTCAAACTCAACAACTGCTCCTCAGAAACCCTATAAAAGGTTGCTATGAGTTGGAACTGACTCAGCGACACTTAACAACAACAACATACTACAGGAAGTTTCTTTTATGCTTGTTGCTGTTTGTCGTTAGGTGCTGTTGAGTTGATGTATTGCCACTATGCCAGTCCATTTTGTTGGGGGTCTTCCTCTTTTTCCCTGACTCTCTATTTTACCAAACATCATGTCCTTCTCCAGGGACTGATCCTTCATGATAATATGTTTGAAGTATGAAAGGAAAGGTCTCACCACCCTGGCTTCTAAGACACATTCTGGCTGTACTTCTTCTAACACAGATTTGCTTGTTCTTCTGGCATTCCATGGTACTTTTAATATTCTTTTCCAACACCATAATTCAAATGCATCGGTTCTTCTATGACCTTCCTTATTCATTGTCCAACTTTCACATGCATATGAGGCTCCTGAAAAATATCAGGACTTAGGTCAGGTTCACCTTAGGCCTCAAACTGATGGCTTGTGCAGCACATTTGCCTAATGCAATATGTCATTTGATTTCTTGACTGCTGCTTTCATGAGTGTTGATAGTGGATCCAAACAAAATGATATCTTTCGGCAACTTCAATCTTTTCTCTGTTTATCATGATGTTGTTTATTGGTTAAGTGGGGAGGATTTTGTTTTCTTTATATTGAGGTGCAATGAAGGCTGTGGTTTTTGCTTCTCTTCATCAGTAAGTATTTTAAGTCCTCTTCACTTCCTTCATGCAAGGTTGTAACATCTGCATACCGCAGGTTGTTAATGAGCCTTCCTCCAATCCTCATGCCATGCTCATCCATCGTCATACAATCCAGCTTCTTAGATTGCTTGCTCAGCATACAAATTGAATAATTATGGTGAAAGACTACAACCTTGGTGCACACTTTTCCTAATTTAAAACCATTCAGTGTTCCTTTGTTCTGTTCAAATGATTGCCTCTAGGTCTCTGTACAGGTTCCTCATGAACACAATCAAGTGTTTTAGACTACTCATATAGTACTTCACAAGGACCTCTGGTAGTGTGTAGTTGGTAATGGATTGGGCTGCTAATTGCAAGATAAAGCAGTTCAAATCTACCAGCTTGTGCCTGTTGTTGTTGTTAAGTGCCTTCAAGCTGGTTCTAATACATAGTGACCCTGTATAGGGTTTCCAAGGAGCGGCTGGTGAAAGTGGAAATTTGGCCTTTTGCACCTCCATTTCACCTTATTATAGTTCACCCCAGCTTTGCAGTACAGCTCATTAACCCTCAGTGCCACACCAGGACTCCAGCTTCGTGTATTTCAGTACTTAGCACGCTTATATATATATATTCTGGTGACAGCTACACTACATACAACAATCATAGTGCTTGTACTTTGGGTAGTTGTACTCCTAAGTTCTTTACCTGAACTTTTAACGCTGCAGCAAGTAACAGGAAACTTCATTAAATCAACCTGTAGAGTACTGTTGGTGGTGGCTGTGTGTCATTGAGTCACTTCCGACTCATAGCGACCCTATATAGGGTTTCCGAGGAGTGACTGGTAAATTTGAACTGCTGACCATGCAGTCCAGTGCTTTATCCCACAGTGCCACATCAGGGGGAGCAGAAAACGTCATCATTCTTCCATAGAGCAGCTGGTAGGTTCATACTGCTTTCACCATGCAGTCAGCAGCCCAACGTGTAACCCACTATGCTGCCAGAGATAATTAATAATTTAAATAACCCATTACATGCAGGTTAATTCTCTTTGTGTGTGTGTGAATTATGTGATAGTTTACATGGGAGAACATTAGTTTTAAATTCATCCTATCGTATATCGTTTCATTGCCATGGTTACAATCCTCTCCATGCATCATCAACCAACCAAAGGGTGGTATACCCTAACAAGCCTGCACCCAGGTCATCAGCACACAGCCCCTCTCACTCTCTGGGTCTAAAGTCCCCAACTGCTCCATCTCTCCACGTCATCATCTCTGCCTCCATCTCAGTCATCATTGCCTATCTGGGTAGGGTCCCGCTATCCGCTCTTCTCCCTTGATGGCCCCAGGGACCTCCGCTCCTAGACTGCAAAGTTAATCACTCCCCTCCTTGTTGCAAAATGTCTACCTTTACATTTCCAGCCCTCACAATCAGTCCTGATAACAATTATTCACTATTGTATCACAAGAGACCTATCTGCATCTGCCTTCATCCGCCCCGCCCAGGTGGATTGGATCCTTCTCAGTGGAAATTCTACCTTCCTCCACATCCTCTAGATCTAGGTTCCCTCTTGAAAGCTTGTAAGCCAGTCACTTATTGCCTTTGTAGTCCCCCCACTTTGGGTAACGAATGTCCAAGTTGCACATCCCTGTCTACTCTGTGTATCGAGGGCCTGGGAATGATCCTCACTGTAAAGATTTGTTCCCTCTCTTGAGCTACTGCATCCATAGGTGTAGGTCAGGTTCATCAAATTGTATCAGATTACTCTTTTTTCTCTCTCTTCTTTCTTCTTCTAATTGAGCTCTGATCATCTAGTCATGAAGCCAGGTCAAGTGGGCATTATCTGCAAGTATGGGTGTTCTTGTGCATATGCCCTCTCTTCTTATCAGCTGGATGCTTTACTCTCCACTCTAGTCCTCTGTGGCTGTGTCACTGACTTTGGGCCAAAGAGTCCCAGGTCTTGCCACACTGCTGGCCAAACAGATCTCCATCCAGGTTCACAGGAGTCTATTGAACATTGTAGGGCTTAGCTCACAGCTTCACTGTTGTTTTTCCCTCACTTCCCCTTATCAGTGATGGATGTGGTCACCAATCAGAGTGTGTATTCCTATTGAGTCTTAGTCTTGGAAAGGGGTTGCAGATTAATTACTGAAAATAATATTGTAGAGGTCACAAAAAATAGTATTCTCTAAATCCAGAGTTAAAATCGCAGTTGACATTAATGAGGTGTTGTACTATATGCAAGAGGCTGCATCAACACAGTCAAGCCTCACACCAACTCAGTGAGTTAGCTATTACTGTTCTGCCCATTTTCAAACTTAATCAGTTTGCAAGCAGTTAAATGAAATGACTGTTTTCAGTTTATACTCAAGAACAGTTTGACACTAGAAAAGGTAAGTCATATCTAGATGTATCATTTTTATATACCTGTCATCAAATTAAGGAGCTCTGGTAGCATAGTGGTTACGTGTCAGGCTGCTAATCTTATGGCCAGCAGTTCGAAACTACCAGCAGTTCCACAGGAGAAAGAAGAGGTTTTCTGCTCCCATACAGGTTTACAGCCTCGGAAACCCTATGCAGGGGCCATACGAGTAGGAACTTACTCAACGGCACACCACCACCACCACCATCAAATTAAAAGCTCTAGTGTAAATATTAATGATTTCTATAATAAAATAGTTTAAGTATGTTTACAGGAACCATGATACAATATTAACTTTTCTTTTTTCAGGGTTTGGACAGAGGAGCAAAAGGCCAAATTTCCACTTTCAGCAATTTTATTTCAACTGTTAGCCAGAAGAAAGAAGCTGCAGAAAGCAGAGGTTCACCTACACATCTTGTTTTCCCTAACATCAAGAACGGTAAATAAATAAATCCATGTATTATAATTATTGAAAGTATGTTGTTGTTGTTGTTAAGTGCTGTCAAGTTGGTTGAAAGTATACACTAGGCTATATATCTTGGATAAAAGTATCAAACTATTTTTTTAGTGAGAAAATTTGTTAGCTATTTAGTAGATGCCATTTACTGTACTAGGAAAGCATTTTTGCAAAATGGTATATCCTCCAGGTTTACAGTGTAGTAGTACTCATATTACTGAAGCTTTTTTTTTTTTTAGCAACTATCCCAATATATGTATACTTATAAATTATATATATGAGGGGACTTCAAAAAGTTGTTTGGAAAATGGAATTAAAAGATAGTGGAACTTTTTCACGTACTTTTTGAACCCCCTTCACATGTGCTACTCTACTAATACTATATACATTATAAAATACACAAAAATAGAAAAATTTTAAAGGATGACATCAAGATAAAACAAGTCATGTTACAAATCTATGAAAAATTAATGGTACAATAAAAAGTTTTGTCTAATATGTTACATTTTTTAATAAATCACCTTGTGGTTCCATGATTCAAAGATTTGGTTCTAAGTTCAGTTTTGTTCAGTACTTGTTTTTAATGCCTGTCCTTGCAAAAACAGACACATTACATGTATTAGGTTGCAGAATTTAGTTCCCTGTGCTAATTATCAGGATATACCTGTTGTTGTCGTATGCCATCAAGTTGGTCTGACTCATAGTGACTTTGCATAGGCTTTCCAAGTAGAGATTGGTGAGTTTGAGCCACCATACTTTTAGTTGGTGGACCAACCTTGTGGTCCAATGCTTATCCTAAAGTGCCACACCAGGACAACAAAATACATCTACTCTTCACAGATTGACTATCTCATTATTCAACATTTCACATTTATGACAACAGTGTAAAACTCTATCAGACTATTTTGCACATTAATAAGCATAATGGTTGTCAAGGTGTGAGGTGAGAATGATGCTGGCTTTGATGGTTAGGATTATGTAACAACTTGTCTGAGCCATGATTCTCAGTGGTTTGTCAATTACATCCTGCTGAGATTTGGCAGTTGTGTATTGATGAACTTTGGCAGGTTCATTTTGTGATCTGATGTGGTTGGTCATCCTCCATTTTCACATAACACCAATTTTCACTTAGTGACCTAGTCTTTAGAACCTAACCATGTCAATAAGTGAGGAGTGGTGTACTAAGTTTTAACACATTCATAAATTTCTTTATGAGTTTTGTTAAAATTTGGCATAAAATGTTCATCTTTTCTGTTGTCAGTTATTCTTTCAAACTAATTATTGTTGTTGTTAAGTGCCATCAAGTCAGTTCCAGCTCATGGCAGCCCTATATGGGATTTCTGAGGAGCAGCTCATGGGTTTGAACTGCCAACCTTGTGGTTTGCAGTCCAGTGCCGATCCTACATCACCACACCAGGACTGCATTTCAAATGAACTGGATGCTAGCAAATTAGTTCAAGATCTACTGAACGCTTCACTTAAAAAGATTCTGTTTCCAGATTTCATAAATTTACTGACAAAGGACTGCGAACCACAAGTGGTTTGAGCCCGCTAGCCACTCCTCAGGAGAAAGATGAGGCTTTCTGCTGCCATGAAGATTTAAAGCCTATACAGGGCTGCTGGGAGTCAGAACCAACCCATGGCACTTAACAACAGCAATACACTTTTAATTGTCTTTTTCAGCCACACATTCTCATAATGATGTAACACTTCTAAATATTTGTTTTCAGAGTGCTTCCTATACAGCATGAATTTATTTTGAAAAACAATTCCTTCTTTCCATTGTTAGACCAAATGCATTTATTATTTCAAAATTATCTGCTCGGTTGCATACTACTAAAACTACATAAAAAGTTAAGAAATTTGTAAGAAAAAAATATGTAAGTCATCTTTTTATTGGTAACTTTTCATTTGAAATAATTCCACTCTTACAGAAAAGGATAATATAAGTAACTCCCATATATTACTGTTTATATTTTGCCACATTTTTTCCCTCTCCCACCTCTTCCCTCCCATTTCCTCTTCCCTTCCTTACCCTCCACATGGACACTATACATACACACTCTTCTTGGACACTTTTTTATTGAGATAATTTAAGAGTGTTTTTTTCTGAGCCCACTGCACATTGTCAAACTCATAGGAATCACATAAAGTGATGTCTTAAATGAAATGAATAGCCTTAATGCTTACATTAGAAGAAAAGAGAAGCTGATAAGGAATGAACTAAACATCCACTTTAAGAAATAAGCAAAAGAACAATATAATGCCTTAGCAGAGAAAGTGCAGGGAGTTAGTTAAGACAAGAAAAGAAATTTAGAAACAAAATATACAGTGTGATTGTTGTTATTGTTAAGTACCATCAGGTCAGTTCCAATTCACAGTGACCCCACCTAGGGTTTCTGAGGAGTGGCTGGTGACCTTGAACTGCTGACCTTGCAGTCCACTGCTTATCCTACAGCACCACACCAGAAGCTTTAGTAACAGAAAATCTACAGTGTGGTAGTGGTGGGTGTTTATGTGCCATGGAGTCATTTCCAGTTCATAGCAACCCTACATAAGGTTTCAGAAGCTGTAAAAGCAGAAAGCCTCATCTTTCTTCCTCAGAGCACTGGATAGATTTGAGCTCCTGACCTTGTAGTTAGCAGACCAACATGTAATCTACCATGCAACCAGGGTTCCTTAATATACAGTGTAAAGGATCAGAAAGGCAAACGTTGGTTCTTCAAGAAGATTAATGAAATGACAAACCTGTGACAATGTTGGTAAATAGAAAATGTACTAATAAACCATATTTAGAATGAAAAGAGGTATGTATGTAGTCATGATTAAGATACTGAAGTATTAATGAGTAATTTACACTAATACATTCACAAGTTTAGATAAGATGGATGAATTCTCAGAACAATGTGCTTTGCAAAAAGGACTAAAGAAATAGGAACTTAAATACATCTGTAACACGTCTACCAAACACAGTCCTACAAAAACAAGCACAAATGCATACACACATAAAAGCTTAACATTACTGAAGATTCTAATTCCAATCTGATATAAGCTGTTTCAGATTTATAAGAAGAAATACTCCCTGACTCATTTAATAGAAAGTAATAAACTTATTTCTAAAAAATTGACAAAGACCATATGAGAATGAAAAATTACAGGCTAGTTTCATTTATGACTGTCTAGTTTCATCAAGTCAGTTTTGATTCTTAGTGATCCTCTATAGGGTTTTTGAGTATGAACTGATGGATTTGAACCACCAACCTAGCAGTACAGTGCTTACCGTATATTATACTATAGCACCACACCAGGGCAGCCTTTAAAACTATTGTTGTTAAGTGCTGCCAAGTTGTTTCCACCTCACAGCTGCCGTGTATAGGATTTCTGAGGAACAGCTGGTGGGTTCAATGCTTATCCTATAACACCACACCAGAAATCCTATTTATAACAGGTGGTGGTTATGTGCTGTGGAGTCAGTTCCGACTCATTGAGACCCTGTACAGGGTTTCTGAGGCTGTAAATTATTACGGGAGCAGAAAGCCTCATTCTCCTGCGGAACAGCTGGTAGTTTCGTACCTGCTGACCTTGCGATTCGTAACCACTATGCTAGATGCAAAAATTATAGGCAAAACATTAGGAAACTAAATCTAGCTGTGTATAAAAAGAATACGTTGCCTGGCCAAGTTGGGCTTATTCCAGGAATGATACATTAGTTTGACATTAGCAAACCAATTAATGTTATATGCTGCATTGTCTGATTAAAAGAGAACAACATAGTATCATCTCAGTTGGTTGTAAAAATAAGTAGTAAAAATCCATCACCCTTTCCTAAAACTGTTAGCATCCTAACTAGGAGTAGGAAGAAATTCTCTTAATCCAATTATAGGTATCCACCAAAAACTTCTTGCAGACATCATACTTAATGGGACATCATAAGCATTCCTTTTGAGAACTGGAATAAGACAGGAGTGCATGATGCCACCACCTCTAGTTGCCATTGTAATGAAAATTCACCATAGTAAGAAAAAGGGTAAGATCTAGAAAGAAAAAAAAAAAAAAAAACCCAAAACAAGTCTCATTACTTATAATTATATGATTATCTAAAGAGAAAGTCAAAGATCCATTACTAAAATTAATAAGATAATTTAGCATGTTGCAGGATGCAAAATAAATACTAAAAGCCAACTGAACTTTATAACACAACAGCTGAAAATAGTTAGAAAATACAGATTAAAAGTATATATTGCATTTAGACCAGTGATGATAGATAATGTGCCACAAACCAAGCAGTAGAGGAGGATCATGGTTCATCCAGGTCTTTGTACATGAGAGGCAAACGAAGTGCTGTTTATAAAACAGAACAAGAAACCCTAAGGAAAGAAGTGCATTTATGAATTAGAATAATGAGATGGGGGTATGTTTTGTAAGATACCAAGTTTTAAAACAGAGATTGTTGTTGTTGTTGTTAGGTGTCATAGAGTTGGTTCCTACTCATAATGACCCCTATGCACAACAGAATGAAACACTGCCTGGCCCTAGGCCAACCTCACAGTCGAGGTTGATCAAGAGGTTGGTGTTGGTGTTTTTAAGTGTCGATTCGTTGGTTTTGATTCACTGTGACCCTGTGTAGGGTTTCTGGGGCTGTAAGTCTTTGAGGGAGCAGAAATCCTCATCTTTCTCCCTAGGAGCGGCAGTTAGACTCAAACTGTGGACCTTTTAGTTCACGGTCCAGGGTTTATTCCACAGAGCCACCACTCTCCTGTTTTGGTGTGTTGTCGTTGATAAGTGCCTTTGATTTGATTCCAACTCATAGCAACCCTGCATAGGGTTTCTGAGGAGCAGCTGGTGGGTTTGAACCCCTAACATTGTGGATAGCAGTCCAATGTTTATCCTACAGTGTCACACCAGGATTCTTACCTTGTGTAGAAGTAGAAAAATTGGCCAATGGAACGAAATAGAGAGCATAGAAGCAGACTTACATATAG